AGAGTTTGGTCCCTTGATGAGCTATAATCATCTATTAGTCTTTCTTTAATATGACACGTTGAGGAAATATAATCATCATAGTAGACCGGATTGCTTGTTCAACCTGCTAATATTTATATAATTTCACCATACATCAGATAAAAGATGATTAGTATAGGGATGGCGATTTTATATATTTTTAATTATTGAGGTTTTAAACTTTTACATTCAGAAAAAATATTTATACCTTGTATGGGGTATATGCAGTTTTTAACAAAATATTTTGTTGTACTTTCCATGTAATATTTAGCACGATCATTGAGAAACCTCCTTGAATTTTTTCCTCTATATCTTCACTAGAATTTGTCATGTTGGATCTTTGTTTGAATTTGCATCGTTGACTTTTTAACACGTCTAGCTATTCTGCAATAACATTACCCTGAAATAAAAGAATGTAAGATTTGCCATTTTTTTTTTCTTGCAGGGCAACTTTTACCTCAACATATATTTCAACAGTCAAACTAAGAGATAATTAATGGTGAGGACTGAGAGAGTACTGTACTGATTTGAATATATTTATGTCTATTAACTTAAATTGGGGCCTTTTTTTCCTAGCAATTTTCTTTAGCATGCTGGTTTTAACATCTCTGTAAACCAGTGCTAGGTTTAATGCTGACATAACCATTTGTTGTTTCAATTTCTTTTTTTTTTTAAAGGTGCCCTGTTGATTGTGAGTTTTGCATCCTTTGGTTAGACCCCAGTTTTCTTCGATTTAAATTTCAGCTAAATCTTCTGACTTGGATCTGTGTGAGTTGTGAAGTTGAATTACTTTTGGTGACAGGAGTTCAACTACGGCGAAGAGTTCGTGCTCCTGATTGCATTCTTTGAGAGTGCATTTGGTGCACCTGTTGAAGATGCTCTGGAATCTTTTAGAAAGCTAACCTTGGAGTTTCCATCCTTAATTGTCCAAGCTACTCAAGGTGTATTTGGAATAAAATTGGAATTTTGATTTTTCTCATCATTGCTTCATACTCTCCAAATGGCTGTCTTAAGAGTTAAAATTTTCACATGCATTACCAATTTAAGCTGTAGTTGTCTACTGCCCAGATTTTGTTGCATTTAGACTTAATTAAGTACTTGGATCCAGATAAAGGCCCTGATTTTGTTGTCTTTATGCTTAAGATTAACTACTTTATATCCAACTAAGTATATATGTTTATATGTATGTATTCCGCATTTTGGGATGTTCATGTGCTGTGTGTGTATATATATTTTCTGCATTACAGGATGGAGTAAACGGATTACTTATTCTCAGTACTGTAATTTCTCTTGTCAGGTTCAAATTTTAACATCGGCAATGAGGGATATACACATGCAATTGTGATACGTTTCCGTTCATGTAGGTTCTCTTTAATGTTTTATAGTATTTGATCACTTTGCACTTTTACTAAATTGACTGGATGATTAAATATTTTTCTGGTGTCCGATGGGTAATGACTTATACCCTTTGCAGTTAAAGCCTTGGAGATATTCATGGGAAGTTTGGAGTACAAAAATGTAAGAATCTCAAACAATCAGAATACTGTTTATGTACTCTTTATTATTCTGTCTTATGTTAGATCTGTGTCTTCTTGAGGGCATCTACCACATCTTTCAAGCTTGGTTAAAAATATGACCTTTCTGCCAGATTGAAAATTGTTATGTATACTGTCCTATCTAACACGTAAAAAACTAAACTCTCTCTTAATTTTAAGTTCTTGAAATGATTCTCTGCTACTTGAAATTCTAGCAAAAATTGATGTTCCCGTACAAAGATGTAACATAATTTGGAGGGATAAAATAAAAATAACCAAGTGAATGGTTTCTCCATCCAGTTTTGAAATGAAGAGCTTCTAAATAGTTCTTTGTTATGCCTAACACAGATGTGGGGATCTAAATTCCAGCCAATCACCAGGGAATCACTCGCCATTCACTTTTCGGTTGATCCAGTGGGCACCGAGATTATGTAATCTGTCGCTTCTGGCGTCAAGGTTATGTAATATGTGACTTCTGGCTTCTTCTCTTTTGTGTTATGTACTAGATTAGAATATAGAGACAATTTAACCATTATTAATATAGCGTTTCTGCTTCATTATGTCTTGGAGACACCATTTCCAGGGAGCCATTTCCCCTGTATATGTCATATGTGAGACTGCATGCATCTGATCTGACGTGCCTTATGAATCACACAGGTCTTTTTTGTTTTTTTTTTTTTAAATTTTTATTTTGATCTCTAATTTACAGTTTTAACTGCCGCAGTGCTTTATATTCTTACATCCGTGTTTATTCGGGTCGGTCTCTTCAGGTTCTATGGGAAACTTCAACTGGGGGTGTGTTTGGCTGAAACTGTAAATCCTAATTTGAATAGTAATAATGCTGTTAAAATAGTTTTTTTAGTAAAAATACTTTTAACAAGAAACTTTTACAGTGTTTGATAAAAATAATTGTACAAATTATTATCATCTTAAAAATTATACATTGATGTTTTTGATAGAAATGGCTGTTAGATTTTAAAGTTACATGAAAATGTATAAGAAACAGAAGAAGTTGTGTTTAGTTAAAATAAAACGTGAATACTAAAATAATATAAAATTAATAAAAAAAAAGTTTAATTTAAATTATTATTCATACAATAATATTAATATTGATAAAAATATATATGTAATATACATAACAGGAATATATATTGTAATATATAATAATAATAATAATAATATATGTAAAGAATATGTAAAATGGATAATAAGTGAAATATAAAATAATAAATTATAATAAAATAAAAAATCAGAATGTAAATTAATTAAAATAGATCTTAGTGTATATATAAAAATATATAAACCATATACAGAAATATCAGAATGTTATTTTTATCTATAGCAAATGTACCTAATATATATATATACTGTATAAAAATCAGAGATGAGACGAAGGGACGGACGAGTGAGCAGACACGAGGAACAGCAAGTATATATCATGCACAATATATATGTATGGTATTGAGAATTTTTTAGTAATCATAGCAGACCGTGACTTATATCATCTAATCAGTGGCATAAAAATAAACCACATAATATCGATATGCTTTATTATGATTTGCAATTATGTTCTTCGTATATTACCAAATTCCAGTCATATTTTAGTAATTACTCAATTTTTTTCATATAAATAATCAAAATTCTTTAAATCTAATTTAGATTATTAACAATAACTACAAAATATAAAATTTGTATTTAACATGAATTGCAAATTAAAAAAAAAAAAAATAGTTCTTGTAGAAATTTTCTTCTTTCCAAATTTTTATGATTATAAAAATTTTAAATATGAACAAAACATAAAGGATGTTTTTTTCTTTAAGAAAAGATCAATTCTTCAAAATAATTTTATAAGTGCAATGAACCAATTGTACCATAACACAGAACACATGGTTTGAAATGAATGAGAGGAGAAGAGAAATCTTGCAACAGAAAATAATCTGAGAAAAACACCACGAAGAAGGAAATTGATCCAATCCCCATATAGCTGTAAAATTGGAAGAGACAAATGGCAACTACTAGCAAATGAAGTTTATGAAAGACGTATCTGACGCAGATTCTAAATCAAAGAACAGAAACTTAAAACCCCAAGTTTATGCATTAAAATGCACTATATGGAGGCAATTGGTTCCGCTCTTTATCACACACCCTAAAGCCAATAATAGTTTGAATCTTACCTCCAACCTAGTAAATAAATATTACTTCAGTTGTTTCTTAACATCTTGAAGAACCTCGTGAGCAGCATTACGTCCAGGTGCACCCATCACGCCACCTCCAGGATGTGCCCCACTTCCACACAAGTATAGGCCCTGCAAAGGAGTCCGGTAATTTGACCTGTTTAACAAGTGAATTTAGTCGACCGAACAACATGAAAGAAGCTAGTTGATCGTTAGCTTATCAGAAACCATGGGGTTGAAATTACCATCCTTTAGCGGGTCTCATGAGGAAGAGAGAATCCAAACCCATAGCACCATGAAAGATATTGCCTCCTGTGAAGTTCAAAAATTAAGGGACTTCATGCAATTAGATAGTAATTTCATCAAGAAAAACTAATTAACGACTCTGTGCAATTAAGTGCTGATCAACAAGAGTAACTTAATTATACTAGAATAAAACTAAAGAAAGTAAAATTTCACAAGAGTAACTTAATTCTAAAGATTTCATTTTTTATTATTTTTGAGATAAAAAGAATATATATTAAGCATACGACACCAAAGGGATGCCACCCCTGTTTGAAATAATTACATATTAGTTAAAGCATAAAAGATCTTCCCAAAATCATCCCGTTGATATAAATCATGCCCTACAATTAGAGAGCCAAAAGTATGAATCCACCTATTTCTATTTCTGCCCAAATCCCCCACACACCCATCAAATGCTTTGTAATTCCTCTCTTTCCAAATCAACCAAAATATAGTTAATGGTATTAGATTTCATTTTTTATCATTAAATTATGATTTTTTTAAAAACAATAACTATAAAAATTTAAGTACCAAGGATTAGAAAGTAAGCTTGTCCAGCAAGGTTGATCTAAATTTCAGGAATCTTGAGGTTTGATTGTTCCCTTAAAAAATGTCTTTACGCCATTTCATTTGCATTTGGGTTATGTTTGGCTGAGTTTGTTATCTCATCAATTGTAATAAAATTGAATTCTTGAACTTCTCAACATGGAAAATTGACAGGGAGATCTGTGATGATGAAGTACCTGTTAGACCAATTTCTCTTTCAAGGTCACGAGGAGTCAGCATATCATAACCAATTATGGATGAGCTGAAGCCTGGGGCATATTCATCAATCAATTTGAAACACCTTTGTGCAAATGATTCCTACAAAAGTTTTAACAAAAATATGATTCCTACAAAAGTT